CTCTCTCCTGTAATGTCTCCTTTGAATCTATTGATCAGTGTCCTCTCCATTTACTGCTTCACTGGTAAGTATGTGTACATGATAATTGTGATTGTTATTGTATTAGTATAAATTACTGTATGTTGAAGTTATTTTTTTAGTTATTATATTAATATTAATTTTCCTTTTTTATTTTTAGTTTCTTGCTGTGCTTCAGATGGTGCTAATGTTACCATAGTGACAGATCCTCCTGGTCCAGCCTATCCAGCTGGTACTTGGATCAGATTCAAATGTATACTTAATGAAATTCATCAAGAACCATTACTCCATGAATGGTAAATAATAACAATGATAATGAATACTGAATATACCAAATTATTATTATTATTATTATTATTATTATTATTATTATTATTATTATTATTATCATCATTATTATTATTATTATTATTATTATTATTATTATTATTATTATTATTATTTTAGGTACAGAGGCTGTTCTGGTACCAGTAATGAAAGTATGGGAATGGATCAGTTAATATCCAGTGGTCTATTATCAGCCCTTGATGTACCAGTTCTATCAACCCCTTCATTCTGTTGGGACACTGTCCACTGTAGAATAGTATCTAATAATAATAATAATAATAGTAATGTAACCATTGGGACCGGAACCAAGTACTTTGGGAATATTACTGGTGAGGAGGAGAGGGAGGGAGGGAGGGAGGAAGAGGGGAGGGAGGGAGAGAGGGAGAGGCAGAGGAAATTAAGCAGTGAAATTGAGGAATTATAAGTTTAATGTACACAAGTACATGTACATTAGTGAAATTCTATTATTGTGTATATACTGATATTTCACTGAATGCTACTGCAGTATATACACTGTACACGTATCATATTTAACAGGTTATGGATTGACGTATAATCTCCGCCCATTAATTAACAACAGTATAATTGAAATCAATGACTCAACTGGTGAAATTGGGACTCTTGCATGTCACGGGAATATCCTGAAATATCCTAACTCTTCGTCTTGGATACTACATGACGAAACGCAGCTATCAGAATCCACTGATGAGATTACTATTACCAAAAGAGGCAGTTCATCCATTTTCTCTTACATATCATTGTTCATAAACCTCACTGGTGATGAACTGAGTAGATTCACTGGACGATATTCTTGTGTAATGGAGGCTGATGGAGGAAACAGTGCAATATTGAGTGTATGGATATTAAGACAAGGAACAACTGGTAGGACATACATGCATGTACGTACTATATAAACCATGGTTTCGAGGTGTGTATCAGTAATGTAAGACCTGAGCCCCGAGATGTCTGCCCGAGGCGAAGCCGAGGGCAGACATCGAGGGGCGAAGGTCTTACATTACTGATACTCACCGAGAAACCATGGTTCATATAATATGTGCTATATTTACTGTAAGATCTATGGGATCTACCAGGGACGGATGCGCGTTTTGCTCGTTTGCTGGGAGATCAAACTCTATCCCTCTCTTTTACTTCTTGACAGAACAATAAAGGCCTTCTTGGAACTTCTCTGTAGCATTTATCTCTGCACGAGCTTTATTTT